TTCCATATCGTTGAAAATATATTGCGGTGTGTTAAATTTCGTTTCATTATCACAATTATCGTAATTGGGCACATCTATTTTCCCATATTTTCGGTATCGAAAGATAAATCAACCATTTTGCTTTGCGGAAAGTAGGTCGTGACATATGCCATCAGAGATTTCTATCTTGATAGTCCATCATGTCAAACAACGCGCGCTGACCCGCTTTGTTGAGAAAATAACTCTTTACAAAAGTATTAGTCGTATGTACGTCGTTCCGGAATTGTTAAAAAAAGCGGTAAATAAATGAAAAAAAGCATTTATTTATTTGTTCGTTATGCAGTGATTCACGGTTTGCGACACATGCATACGCATTACTATTTTCCATAAATGTCACAAGATCCAAAATATTTCTCTCCCCGAGAATTCTCCCGAATCAGGTCGTATAGGAAAGGACATTTTATTTATCCGTTTCCGATATAAGAAGAGCACCGAAAACTCAAGTTCGACAGTTTTCGAAGGTGTACGTCCCTTTAAGACATCCGCCTCCGACGCGACAATTAATCCCCTCTTAAAATTTTTTACAACGTTCTAAAATGCGACACGGTAAAAGGATTTTTTTTTTCTACATCAGAGCGAAATTGAAACGCCAACCTCTCTTTTTAATCGCAGATTAAATGCGAAATTGAAATGATGTATTGCGTATGACGGACGGGGGCATAAAAATTCCTTTTCGCGACGACGGGCGCGCGGAAAATCGAATCCACTGCAATTAGCTACGAGATTAAATTGAGACGATGAAAGCTGCAGACGCGCTACTGCTCGACCGGATTTGCATCGCGTCGCGTCGGTCCAACGAGAATCTCCGTGGAGATCGCTCGCTCTCTTTACCCACGCATTTCGCGTCTGCAGATGCCGACGCAGAAGTAAACTTCGTCATCTCGAGAGTGGGATGGATGCGAATGGAGGAAAGAGCTTGGATGCGCTCGTCACACTTCGTTCTACTTGCCCGTCGTAATTTGTCCGTCTCTCCACTTTGTACCTGGTGCTTCTTCGGTTCCCTTCGAGTCCGCCCTCATGTCCTCCTTCCACGAGCTTGTATATAGCGAGTGACGTAATTCCCGCGAAACATCGTCAGTTCAGTTTATTGAACGATGTAAAAACCATGCGACCACTCACGAGAAGGAGAACGAAGGAGCCTTTTGAAACATCGCGAAGAAGTGCTTGATGTGAGTGCCCGGCTCTCTATCCACAGTTTACTACATGTCTTTCGTAATCCGTTTCTACTTTGCTTCGCGCCTCTGAGCATTTCAAACTTGAGAACGAGCTACTCATAATTCTCGCAACATTATTAATTTAAAATGTAAAAGTCAACTGTATAAAAACGCAGGAAAGTATTTTTTCAAAATTATGATAGAATGGTTAAATGTGAATATTATATATTACTAAGAAATATTGATGAAAGATATATTTGTTGGTTTATTTTTCGCCAATTGTAGCAATTATTACGCTCGCAATATGGTACGTCTAAATCTATGGAAACTGATGAATAATATTTGTTTCCAATTATAAATATAAGACCGTATTGATTTATAAACCGAATTTATTGAATGTATATACAATAACGTATGAATTTATATATATATATATGTGTGTGTGTGTGTGCAATGTTGAGTTAGCTATACAAACATACACATATATATTATTTATTTCATCGTGTAATATATATATATATATATATACACACATGCACACAAACTTTTTTCTAATCAATATATAATATTGATAACTTCCTTTTTACTGTTTACAAATCGTACTTGTTATACCATTGTGATATAATGCAAATTTATGCAAAAGCGGATTTGCTCACGGTCAGATGTTTGGATGGTTTTATTGACATCGTAATTCTCATTCATATAACAGAACTATCGTCCTTCTTACATTATGCATGCGCTTTATGCATACCACTAGCAGGATAAGTAGCGGCGTAATTAGCGCGGTGTTAATAGTTTGTATTACTTGTTTGATACAATTCGCTTTCTTCTGCCGTATAATTCGCATTACCTCGTTGAAACTCCACTTTGTCGTCTCGCGAGAACAATGGAGTAATTTATATGAATCCCTAAAAGCACAAAGTGAATTGCATACAACGCCTCGGGAGGGATTTATTCGTCTCTAGCGGTGTAAAATCGACGATAATATTTCAAAAAGCTCGCAACATTCAACATTACCGAGTTAATTACGCAATAATTTGCTGAAATATCTGCCAAAGAGCAAAAAAATTGTTGATATACCATATATTGCATATTTAAAATTTTAAAAATGAATAATGGGAATCTATAATTTTATAAGTCATTTTTTTTTAATCGATCGATGCAATAACTTACAAATATAATTTATATCTCTGTAAATTATATCTCACTCTAACTAAGAGACAGAGCAAACTGTAGTTGCTTAACTTTTGGCGTAAATTTTTGAAATGTGTATCTATTTATCATAAGTTCAGTTTGGAATTGACAACTTAAAGAGGGAGGCGAATAACGTTCGAAGTTTTATCCTCTCGCTTCTCTCTTTTTTAAATATATATTTAAACGACGTAATTTTTATATAGACTGCTTTTTCGAATTATATTTTACCTCCACTGATGAATGCAACGATAATAAAGAGATATATGACGATCGTTTCTTTGATGGATACTTAACTTTATAGGTGCACCAGTGCATTTGCTCGACGGTGAGCGTTTACCGACGACTTAGGGAACATAAAACGGAACAAAAGAACGAGCATTTAGCATATAGGAGGAATGCGTGATCTCTCCGATCTGACTCGTCCTGTTCGCTTTTACCGTGCGAAACTTATGAAGCTGAAAATCCTCGGGTATCCCGCACTTTGCTGCACAGTTTCGCGCGTCTATTCTTCGTCCGCTTTGCGGCTTGACGCCGCCGCCACAATATACGCGATCCGGCGTTATAATAAACGGATGACGAGCACAGCATCCCGCATATCTGATCCCGCGGTTACATTGGACGGAAATTTATGCACTATAATAAGACGCACACGCTAAATTTCATGTACTTTAATTCATAAAAAAAGAACAAAGTAGATCTTACGTTTGATATGCGTTTTAATTTTATTTTTTAATTATTTTTGTATAGATGTATAGGAATTTTTTTTAAGAATTAAAAACCTATATATAGTAACTATATATAGTTACATTGAACGGAAATTTATGCACTATAATAAGACGCACACGCTAAATTTCATGTACTTTAATTCATAAAAAAGAACAAAGTAGATCTTACGGTTGATATGCATTTTAATTTTATTTTTTAATTTATTTTGTATAGATGTATAGAAATTTTTTAAGAATTTAAAAAAAACTATATATAGTTACATTGGACGGAAATGTATGCACTATAATGAGACGCACACGCTAAATTTCATGTACTTTAATTCATAAAAAAAGAACAAAGTAGATCTTACATTCGATATGCGTTTTAATTTTATTTTCTAATTTATTTTTGTATAGATGTATAGAAATTAAGAATTAAAAAAAACTATATATAGGGTGCATCTAAATAAGTGCGAAAAATCTTACCAGATGATTCTATAAAAAACCCCCTAAATTTTCGACAAAGAATCATCTCCTGAAATTTTTCGCACTTATTTAGATACACTCTATGTGTATATATAATATATTTAAATTCAAAAGAAATACAATATACACTGCTGTTTATGAAAATTGAACAGTTGTATCATTATTCCTTCACAATGTTGCAATTTTCACAAAAAACAGTATATATATATATATATTTTGTTTTAATTTCTTGATGGACAGTTATTAAAATAATTGCATGCAAAACATTTTGAAAATAACGTTTTGATACAAAATAAATATATTAAGACGAATGTATATAAATAAGATTGGTTAAAGCGAGTACTTTGGGGCTACCCTTATTCCGCTCAGCATATTGCAAATTTCCTGACGTCGCTAAAGCTGGAAGTTTGCGTTATTCTGCCTTAACAACGCACCGTTTCACGCATCTATCCTGTCTGTATTCTGTGGCACGACAGAACCGTTGTAAACGGTGTATCCGGGGATATAATAAACAGTTGATGGACCTCATCGCTCTCGTAGCGTACAGTTGAATTGCACGCATTTATTCAACCCTAGCATTATGTAAATTAATATTTTGCAACCATTTTTTTCTGGCGCGTTTCGTCAACCTTTTCTCCACGCAAAACAAATCTCTTGCAAATGAATATTTAATTACTTGAAAATATATTATGAAGAAGACGTCGTAAGAGAGAGAGAGAGAAAGAAAAAATGTGTGTGTGTGTGTACAAAATAGATTTATTTTCTCAACAAAAATTTGATTAAAGTCGCTTCTTAATATGAACGTTGATTTCTCTCCTGCATTATTCGACATTAATCAAAGTATATTTAATTTCGTTTTCTATTCTTGAATCTCTCTCAGCGAAATTCATCAAAAAATTTAGTGAATTATTTGCTTATATTTGAATAATTATTAATGCTTTTTATACACATCGTGAACTGATTCTGGATTGTCGAAAGGGTTTTGCAAAAGAACTTGCTTTATTTCTTTTTCCATATTGTTTTCAAACGAATAAAAACGCGTAAAGTATTGTGTACGATAAAGTATTGTGAAATACATATATTCCGAATACTAAATTACACAATTAAATTAATGTCGAATGTAAGTGTCTTACACAATGCGCAATTAAAATATACGAAAATTAAAGAGAGACTAAGTCTTGTGGAATGCTTGTTCAAAAATAAGCGAACGAGAACATTATCAAGATCGCGTAAAGAGAAGAAACCCCCGTCGGCGGTTCATGGTTCCCAGCACAAAGGCGCATTATCCCACCGAAAGAAATCCTCATAACGAATGTCACGGTTCGCGGGTCCCGCGATTCCTGGTCCTTTGTGCTCGGAGAAAAATCCGCGCGTTAAATCTCATGCTTGTCAACCGGCGCCATTCTTCTTCTATCTGTTCCAGAGCCCGACGCCGCCGCAATACGTGTTCTGGTATCACAATAACCGGATGATAAACTACGATACCACGCGCGGCAGCGTGACCGTACAAACCGATCCAGGACCAACTCAGAGCCGGCTGACGATTCACCAGGCGGTGGAGTCCGACACGGGCAATTACACGTGCAGCGCCTCCAACACCAAGCCGGCATCGATCTTCGTCTTCGTCACCGAAGGCAAGTATAAGCAATGTGTTTTGTACAGAGAACAGAGGCTCCCTTAATCAATACAACTCCCGACGCGTTTATCCCCGGGGTCTCTTAACTATCTTCACCGAGAACAAATACGAGTAACGATATACTCGGGGAAGATTCAATCTAGAATATTTGTTCCAACCCGAAATACACATTTGGAGACTGAGAAATTATAAGGAAATTACATTATCTTCAATTATTCTCGAATTAATTTCAAAATCATTTTCATGGAATACTTAATTAATTAAGGTCTTAATTATTTAATATTGAAATCGTGATATACGGAGAAAAATTAAATGTGCCGATCTCCATTAAGAAAAACCAATTATGAAATTTTCAAGAAGCTGTAATTGAGAGAATATTCGATTAAAAGACTACGCAATTTTTATATCATATAAATTTCAACGTCGTGTAAATAATTTCTAAATTATATAAATGTCAAGGCATTTATCTTTCTCGCTATATATTTAATATTTTTTCTATAATATAATGTATCAATTACTTTGCATAACGTAAATATATGTGAATAGAACGAAGAAATAGTAATACTGAAAAGAAATCGACAATTTTTATCTTAAAGGATGCACGCGTGGATGCATTTTGATAAACAATAGTCATTCAAGACGATGACAAAAGATTACGATAAAAACACATTGTCTACACAGAAAACGGTAGAACAACATCTCTGAAAATTGCCTTAATATCCTCGACTAAATAAGAAATCTGCCCATTTACCGGTCGATTCCGCTTCGGGGCACAGTTCTCGTTTTTCGATACGATCGTTTCTGTTATTTCCACGTTTTGCGCGCGTAGATTGCGTAGAGAGAGAGAGTATACGTGGCGTCACATCTACGTATACACGACGACATGCGTGTGAACGACGAACCACCCCGGTCCTTCAACGATCGATCACTCGTCGCCGACCACCCTCTGATGTATATAAAATACATATATACATACATATATATATATATATATATATATATACGCGCACGATTTAACCCCTTTCTAACAAGGGCCATGACTGACGAAGAAACCCAAGGCTCTTCCAGCAAAAAGCGGTCTTCGTCGGGGCTCCATGTTGTCGTAGAAAAACCTGCGCGCAGAGACTTTAACGGCAAATCGCTCGCAATTTTAGGCGTCCGCCAGATTCACCGTAATTGATGTGAAAGGATGAGAGAACAGAGTCGCGAAAATCTTAATTGGATTACGAGAAACTCGGTCGGCCAGAAGATTTATTATACGGATATATGGAGAGAAAGATAGGGTGAGAGAGAGAGAGAGAGAGAAGGGGTGCACTTCTCTCTCTCTCTTGTCTCGCCGAGTTAAACGCGTTTTCACGGCCCTTTGATACATGCATGTCGCCTTTCGCGAAGAAGCGAGTGGATCTCTCGCGGTAACAGCTGCGATTAAACATGAGATATTACGTTCTAATTATATCGGATAGGCAGTGGGTATCATAACGCATCTGTTCGCGAAATGTACATTCGAGTAATATTTCATGGAATTTAATTAATAACACTACGCTTAAACAAAGAGCGTCGTTTGTCTCTAGCACGGCGATAGGTATAAAAAGAGTAATTTTTTAGTAAAATCGTCGTATTATGAAATATAAAATAGGGACGATCGACATTACACACGTTCGAGCATTAAATGTAGATTCCACACGCGATCCTTTATACGGTCAAATGGGGTGATTTTCGCGGACGATCAAACGAGAAATCCGGCCCATAAAATCGATACGATTGTCCTCTTGGCCGGTCAATAGCACGTGTATATATTTTATATATTATATTATATGTATACAATGCAGCGGTATATTCGGAGCAATGCGAATCCATCCGCATACGTGATAAACCGTTATACGAGAGCGTCCCTTCTGTGTTCCACGAATGTACTAAGCTTTCAGGTTAAATTTTGAAGATATGGACTCCATTACGGCACACCCGGACTGGCGCGAATTCCGCGCGTGTATTCGCGTTTACGTAGCGCGCGCGATTGTCTATATACGTTTATGTACATCCATATATGTATATGTGTGCGTTTATATATGTTTGCGTAGCACTCACACTGACGTACGAGACGCGGTACGTAATTCACAGCCCTGGGAACATATGGGGCAACGCCTCGCGCCGTAAATTATGGTAAAAGTGTGCATGCGCCCGCGTTTCGGAAGAGACACGTATCGCCGATGAATGTTGCAAATCTGGCGGGTCCGCGCGCAACGGCGCGCACCATGAATTTTGATATTCGAGAGACAGGAAGAAGGATCCACCCTCCTCCCTCTCTCTCTCTCTCACTCACTCTCTCTTTCTCTCTTGAGCGCTCGCCATTTCGCTTTTTTTCCCCAGCAACAAATTTACGACAGGATTATATCATAGAGCGCGTACGTGTGTGTGCGCGCGTGCGCAATCGGATATGATGTATTGATAGGCCGGGTCAAGGCGGCCCGCGATATATTATTAATGACGATCGGTGACGTAATGCCTGGGACAAATGAGATCGTCACCGAAGGCGCCGAGACGTCGTACAAATATTGAGTCTAATATCCGTGTATTATACACTGTAGAAAAGATATGTAGTATATATATTACATAACATATGTAAAATTACGTAAACAATGTGTAAAATTGCAACTTCATGTTTATCCATGACTCAATTGTATCAAAATTCGTGTCACCGCTTTTGATATACTTCTATACTTTATACTCGATTAATTTTTTTTTTTTTTTTTTGACAGAAATCAGCTGATAACTGTTAAAAAGATTAATCGAGTTTAAAGTATTCCAATATATTATTTAAAATATAACTATTTTAATTTTAACAATTTGTTTTAGAATTATTAACAAATTAACACTCTCAGTTGACATTCGTAAACAAATATTAATAAAGCGTTAATTTGCTAATTAAATTATAGTAATATGTTATAAATAATATGTCATAATCATAATATCTTATCCGCGAATAATATTTTGTGACAGATATCAGCTGACTATTAAAGATATTAATCCAGTTTAAAGTTGTGATAACATAGGTATTATCTAAAATACGTTATTTTTAGTTTTGTAACATTTTATTAATATGAATATTTTTAATTCAAGATTCATCTATATTAATAAACTAATCTATGTTAAGATTTATATACAAAGTATGTAATTTTACATATATTTTTTATAGTGTATATATTCAGCGTAAGCGGATAGTTTGTAGAGGTATTTCGAAACAATTCTCTTTTTTTGCCAATTAAAAATAAAACCTAATTACGGGATCGCTTAAAGTTAAACGAATTGAACGTTACGTGTTTCTGAAAAAAAAAATAAACTTCAAGGGGATAAAAGTGCGGAGATTAATGAAAGTAAAATTTTCCCTTCTTCGCGCTCGAGTGGAAATTTTCTCTCTTTAATTCCCATACGATATATACAGAATTCTCTTCGCGTCTAACGCAAAATTCATGTTGAAAATTACACGCGCTCGTTTAATATCTCTGCGTATATGTTGGTCGTGAAGCGCGTGTAACATCAACGCATATCCGCTCTCGCGCAAGATAGAATGAATTATTACGCGTACGAGATAATGAGATGAAGTCTCTCTGCAAGCGCGTTGATGACATTGTCTTTTGACCGAGATTTTTGACCTCCCGTCGTCGTAGCTACGAATTTCCACGGATGCATTTAGCTATTAATGACAAATTCAAAGCGCGACTTCTCCCAAGTCTGAACTATTCGGTTACAGCCACTACAATTATGTTTCTAAATATTCCCCGCGAGATTATTGCGTTGCTCGAGCTCTATGCTCTAATGATAGATCGTCGTAACTACCGGTTGGTTATTTCTGGGCTGGTTAACGCGTTGTTTCATCCGTTCTCCGTTATTCTGACCCGCCGCGGTAACAGTGGAGGGAAACGCCGCAAAATCCTTAATGAATATTGCAGAACTTGAGACAGCCGCTTTATCCAGCAAATTCCGCGAGCTTCGCTTCATGGCGAAGAGTGAGGGATGCGGAAGGGGATGAAGTCTTCGTGTCGCGATAAATTATCTAAGCGTCGCGCAACGCCCACGGTAAATTGGCTTAGCACGGCGATACCAGGATGGGGCAATCTTATTAAAGGTGGGGAACGCACTATCCTGGAAGACGACGCCGCATCGCGCCAGTTCAAGCGAGCTTTCGAAACCCCGCGAAAATTCCCGACCGGCCGAAAACCAGGTGTAATCAGATCGTAAACGAACGGATGATCTGAACGCGCGCATATATCGCAACCTTTTTCTTTCTCTCGAGACTAACCGCGAAATTGCTCGTAAACTCTTATTTGGCGCTCTCGCGCCAATTGTAACGCCTACAAATGGCCCGCTTTGTCGTCAGGATTTCCACGACAAGAGTGTAATATGTAGTTCTTCGGGCAGTAAAAGCGCCATAAACGTGTAGCGAGTAGCCTGTCCGATTTTTATATACACACGATTCTCGGATGCTGATTAAGTTTTCTTACGAGCGCGAGTTTACGAATGGTGTGGCACATTTAATATAAAAGCAACTTGTGCGGTTAAGGGTAAAAAAAGATTGAAATGAAAAGATATTAAATACATATAAATATATATATTTGATCTATTTTTTACCATTTCTCTGTATCATTACTGCGAATATTCTCTGACAATGTTTTACATCTTTATTTTATATATAATAGGAGAAACGAGAGTAAAAAAACAATGTAATATTATGAGAGGAGAAAGATGTAGAACATCGCAAGAGAACATTTGCCGTATTAGTGATACAGAGAAACGGTAAAAATAAGTACCAACAGAGAATAAATTTCCAGAAAAACTTAATCTTAAAATGATCGTAAACAACAGTATACAAAATGAAAATTAACTTAGCGATATTCAAGTGTCCTAAATTTATGAAAGAAATTTTAAAAGCAGTATATACTGTCTACTAGTGTCGAAATATGCTTTTTATTTACGAATTTTATTTTTAAACAGCAACTAATT